GGGGGGGGGGGGGGGGGCTGGACAGGAAGGAGGAGACAAAACAATGTCGACTCGAATGTGTCACGGCTTGTTTCTGAGTCTGCTGATTCAATATAATGTGTGTATAGCACCCTCTTGTGGCCAATCGTTTACAAACATGTACTGTCCATCCATCCATCCATCCATCCATTTTCCGATCCGCTTTATTCTCACAAGGGCCGCTAGGGGGTGCTGCAAGCCTATCCCAGCCGTCTTCGGGCAGTAGGCGGGGGACACCCTAAACCGGTTGCCAGCCAATCGCAAGGGCACGCATAGAAAAACAACCATTTGCGCTCACAACCACACCGAGGGACAATTTGGGGTGTTCAGTCAGCCTTGTCATACATGTTTTCGGAATGTGGGAGGAAACCGGAGTACGGGGAGAACATGCAAACCCCCACACACGAAAATATGGGCAGTGTGAAAAGCTGCAGGTACTCAACGCTCCCCCTTCCAAAGGGGATTTGTAATTGCGACCAATTGCCACAAGATGGCGACGACGCACTTAAAATGAAGAGCATCATCAAGCTTCATAATGAACACTTACATTGGATCCTCAAAAATAAAAAGATGACAAAATACAATATATATTTTTGGAACAACTTTTGAATGTTCCATGAACCTGCCATGCATATTTTTGGAGTGTGGGAGGAAACCAGAGTACTGGGAGAAAACTCACGCAGCACGGTGGGGGAGAGAACATGCAAACTCCAAACAGGAAGGCCGAAATCTGACTTCAAAAATGTCTTCAAAATAAGCAGCATGCTGCCGCCCAAAGAAAAAAACAAAAAAAAAACAAACTCCTCATGCAGTGGTCCACAAGCACTCGCACAAAGCAGTCCCAGGCTGCGGGCCACTCCCGGCAGGCCGCGCAGATGAAAGAACAGAAAAAAAACGTACAGACTGACTATTTCCTGTTTGTCGATTATCCGAGGCTGAAAATATTTTATTTTTAAACGTGACCGGATTCTCTTTGTCACGCGCCCGTCCGTGACGGGTGACACGTGTCAGGATCCGAAAGTCGCCTGGTGAGAACACGTCGACCTTTCCAAAGACTTGGTGCACGCCGACCGGCGCGGATGTCGTCACCGTCATTGTTTCGGTTCCAAAAGTGACGAGCGCGCCAAAACACGGAAAGCAAAGAAAGCAGCTTCAGAAGTGTCGATTAGCAAAGCGGCTTGCTCTGCCTCTTTGCTCCCAGTCGCAAAAAGACAGCCCGGCGTTGTTTCCGTCACAATCGGTCTCGTCTCGTCTGTCTGTCTGTACGACACCTCGGACGATGTAAAAGCTTCACGTCGTCTCAGGAGGGTTTTTCCTGGGTGGAATCCTTCCGCCTTTAAGTGGCGGAGCTGGTGGACACGTTGGGAGCGACGGTGGTCCTGCTTTGGCCTTTGCGCTTCCTCCCGCCGCCGCCGCCACCACCGCTGCCTCCTTGTCCTCCAGCTTCGTTCAGCGGCCGGCCTCCCTCGGTCTTCTTCTCTGATGAGACAAAAAAAATGTTCGGGAGACGATGTATCTGTCCTTCTTCGGACCTTGGTTTCAAAGCACGTTCAAACACAACAACTTGCTGGCAGTCAAAATCGAAACGTTTACAGTTGTTGTTTTTTTTTTAAGAAGAGTGTCAAAAAAAAAAAATCTTGGGAAGAAGATTCAAACGTAAAAATAAAATCGTGCCCAAATAAATCGTGTGAACTTGTGTCATCTTGGGGGGAGGAGGGGGTGGGTAGATGACAATGTGAAAATAAGACACGAATTTCACAAAGGTGGAAGGATGGATCAATCAATGAATTAAAGAAATAAAAGGAATCTAAAAGGTGGATAGTTGAATTGTAATCAAACATAACAAAACAAACAAAAACATGATCTAATTCCGTATTAAAGGTTCAATGGACTCTCTTTTGTGTCGTGACGTCAGGACTCATCGATCAAGCAACTCCCGTGGTCAAGGTGCTCTGAGTCGGGACGGACGAACCCACAGCTGCTCCCTCCGTCTCCGAATGATCCTTCGACGGAGACAAGAGGGGACCCTCGCTCCCCCCTTACGAGTACAGTACAGGTCAAAAGGCGAGTAGCAGCATTCTGGAGCAACTGGACACGCTGAGTGGAGGATCGGATTTACAAATCATCCGAAATAGAGCCGAGCAATTGTGAAAAAGGCAGCACGGCGGGCACTGGTTAACACGTCCGCCTCACCGTGCAGAGGTGCAGGGTTCGATTCCGGGACTCTTTTGTTGTTTTTCAATGACGCGGCATCCATTTTTGCAAATTATCGGACGCCCAAGCGACGGCTCGCGGACCAGTTTGGCCATCCCCCCCCCGACGCAAGGTGCCCGGAATGGGCCGATAGGTGCGCGTTGGCGCAAGGACGACATCTGCGATTGCTCTTCTAGACGAAACGCGGTCGCGCCTCATCCCGAGCCTTCCACAAATTGAAAGTTTTTCCGAGAGGGTTTATAATTTGTCACCGCTAATTGTTTTCCCCACC